AATTTTGCGCGCATTGTCTGAAAGTGTCTGAAATTGCGCGCGGACTGCAGCTATCTGCCGTTTCGTTACTGACTCATGGAGAATTCATCTTCACTCCAAATGCCACTTTCTGAATACGTAATCTTCGACATGCCACGTTTCTACTTCGTTGCGACGACACTTTAACAATGGTCGCTTACATTAGTTCGACGGAAATTACTTCCGTTTCCGAAGCGTGGTTGCGCAATTGCAGATGTGTGGGCCTGTGTTAGATATGAGAGATGACGATGGTGGTAACGCCACTTTGGCTAAGTGAATGTCGCTTCCCAACTGCGCGCCACGCTGTCGCCTTGCTGTGTCCTTCCTCTCAGCCGCTGCCAACCGCAAACATTGTTGGCAATATGCTCGCTATGATGAAAATTGCAACAAAGCAATGTTGCAAGTCGCCATTTGTGCGGCTGTGGTGTCTGCTTCATATTGCAAGATATACTATTCAAGTTGTTATTTTTGCTGCCAATGCATGCAATGCTCAGCATGATTACCGAAGTTGTTCTGCGCGGTGAAAGCAAACAAAAATGTGGAAATTCGCTGCGACGGTAGTCAGAAAAGAGCGGTCACAGTATGCTGTGATGTTTGTAAATTTAGCCCAGAGCAAATTATCTTCTTTTAAGTTGCATCGAATTACTGAAGCATTAATAGATATATCTGCGTAATTTGGCTCAAGTTGATCTCTTCGAGAAATACATTATCGTGAATTTTTTATAAAAGAGTTTAGATACTTTGCACCACTGTGCCTTATTATAAGCGTTCGCGGCATATCGGCGAAAGTACGAGTATGTTGATTGAGTCGTATTGTCTTGGTCGCCCTGTATAATGGGTAACAATACCGCGTCCTAAATTGCTGCCACGTATAGGTATATTGAGGGGCAAAATGTATCACATCGCTTCTATCTAAGCACGTATTGCCACCTAGAAGCTTTGCAATACGGGTTAATTTTAATTGACCCGCTAATAACAAGTATCATTTAATACCTCATCAACAAATTATCTCAGGTCAAAAAAATTTGAATTGATATATGTATATATGTATATGCCACCGCTAGATCTTTGCTTGCGCTTATCTTCTCTAGAATGGTGTACACATATGTTAACTATTAACCGTCTAAAGGATATTCTCACAAATGAGATCTGATCACTTAAACTGACCTTACGTCCTTTGCCCAGAGTCTCCTGTTAAGATAAATACGTATCTACATATCTGGGGAACAGCTGAATATTAATTCAGATGCCATATGCAGATTTTTAAGAGAACAATAGTAGTTATATATTCCATTCCGGGTCGAATATATTCATATATACTTTTAGAGGAAGTAACCAAAAGTTACCTGTCTACATACTGTACATACTGTTGAATGCTTTCGATTTCAACTTTTTATTTCTTAAAACAAAATAGCGTTTGTACAGCTGTTACAAAAAAACTTAAGACCTGAACTGAGGTGTAATTACTCCCTGAACAGAGAAGTTTGTAACACTTAGAAGGAAACTTCGGAGACCCTTTAAAGTATATTACTATATAAAATTATATAAATGGTCAGCGTGACGAGCTGAGTCGATTTAGCCATGCCCATCTGTTTGTCTGTATATTAGAGTGGGTTGATTTACAGGAAGCTAAAAAACAGAAAAATCACGTATGCGGGAAATATCTTGAAACACTTTGCCTAGGAGAATGTGGTTCTTAAACCGGTTTCGAGCCAGCGTTTGTATATTAAGTTTGCCACGATATTTGAAGCTCAAAAAGAAACGTCAGAGACCCTATAAAGTAGATACTCGTATATAAATTATCGGCGTGACGAGCTGAGTCGATTAATCAATCTGTCTGTGTGTTTATATACAAACTACTCCCTCAGTTTTTGAGATATCGATCTGAAATTTGGCACTAATCCTGTTCTCCCCCAAAATCTGCTCTATAGCTGCCATCCAAACTGAACGATCGGGATCAAGGGCTTGTATGGAAAACTTTTGCATTTGAGGATATAACTTCATAAAATTTGACTTGGGTTATTTTCTAAGTCAACGGCGCAATCTCTAAAGAAATAGTTCAGATTCCTTCACTATAGCATTTAGGTGCCATACAAACTGACCAATCATAATCAAGTTTTTGTAACTAATATTTTGAATTTGTAAGGGTGTTACAGCTTCGGTGCAACCAAAGTTAACGTTTTTTCTTGTTTTGTTATGTTAGTAATGTCATTTAAATAAGGCTGGATACGAAAAGTAAGAATTAAAGCATTCAATTTCATGCAAAAATAATGGATTTCTTTTTACTACACCTAATCAGGGGTTTTGTGAAATCCAAGGCAGACTTGCGTAGTTGTCATTATTGCAAACCAATTCTGATTTTCAATGGTGTCACAGAATCTAAATGGACTTCCGTCTTTTCGAACATATGCAAAAACCAATTTTCGAATCAGCTGTTTACTAATGTGACAAAACTTGCAAATGAATAAATTTACCGAGTTCCGCTATTTTGGCTTTTATTTTATTGAAAAAAAACGAAAAATTAAAAGGAAGATTTTAAAAGATCAAAGTAATCCTCTTGATGCACTAGGGGAGTCGCATGTAAAATTTGCATTGCTTTTACTTGTATGTTTGTATACATTTTTACTTTACAGATTTATATCACATTATCGACTGAATAAAGACGCATTTGGGTGTTAAATCACGTTTTGTAAATCCTTTTAAAATATCTGGATTTTGTCCCATAAACTCATTAATTATGACATTTTGTGTTTTATTCTTATGTTTTCCCTATAGAAATAACGATAAATTAAATCGTAAGAATAATATAAATTATTTTCTTAACTTACATTTCAAATCTGTCAGCAAAAATCCTTTTGCTTTATTTCTGATACAATTTCTGTTTCGAACGTCAAACCAATAATATCTGAATTTATGACACCTTCTACATTTTCTTATCGGTTTCAATTCTGATTCCGACAACTATCAGATTTTGCAACACCCCTGAATAATATTATATCTCAGTAAAACGCCATTTTTAATTTTCCAGTTGACAATTTCTATTTAAGGATTAGCAAAAATCTGCCATAATAGGACGTTTCCATCACCCTTGATGGCCACTCTCACTCTCTTTCTTCGCCACCATAATTTCCAAAGTTATCCTAAAATGTATATTGATGATTGTGGAGATAGTCTAGCTTAATACTTAAATTTGCTACTGAAGTCTGAAAGTGTTTTAGCATGTTTTTCACAATTTCTTCATAATTTGGTACTTTATAGTTAACTAAGATATTTATGACTATCAACACAACACTTTTTCAAGCTTAAATTTTCGGAACAGTCACAATCTTGATGATTTTTTTATTAAGTTCGTATTTGAGTAGCATCAAAATTTAAAATCTTTCCACATCAATTGGCTTATAACTCCCTAATAAGAAAAAATTAAGCTCCTGAGTTTATTTTGAGAAAAAACCTTTGACGTAGATGTTTCACCCTCCCTTTCATTTCCACTGGTAAATTGGACCGATTTTTAGGAATGTGGCGACATCATTGTTTCTGAGGGCATGATAATTACTTTTGAAACACAAGAGGATATTGTCTTTGAGTATAACTAGATATTTTGTAGACTGCAGCTTTAGATATTCCCACGTTTGATTTTTATTAAACCGCATAGTTTTCCGCATATTTTCGTTAAACACCCTGAGAGTGCTGAAAAATATTTTTTATTACTAATAATCATAAAAACAAGAGCACATTCAATACTTTCATGAATAAACTCATGATCTGGGCAAAATAAAAATGTATATTTTTTTTAAAGCTGCGTATCAATAAAACCAAGTAATTATCAATTTGAGTATCGATTTTTATTGCTGGTAAGATTTTTAACTGTCTTACATGGGAAATTCATAAATGTAAATACTGTAATTAATATCTGAAACCGAGCGAATATAAAATTATTATATAGAAAATTGTTAATTAAAATGTAAACGTACTTAAAGCTAATTTTTTTTAGAACTAAACTTTATAAATAAAATATACTAAAACACGCCTATTTAATGAAGTGCTACTGTTTGATTAAAAATTAGGTTTGAGCATTTTTTGTGTGAAATATTAACTAAAGAACTGTGAATAATATGCATTCAAATGCAAAACTAGATATGGTTGTTGATGTTCATTTAATATGCTGTTACATTAATAATTACTGCTATATTTTATTTTTAAAATGTCTCCGATTAAAAAAGTAAAACAAAAAAGTGAAAGAAAACTTAACACAACATCTTTATAAATTATATAATTATTAATATATATATAATCTTATAATTAGACTTGCTATGTCTTCTGTCGTGTTGTGAAGACTCTTTTCGCTTTGTGCTTAAAATATTAAAATCTTTTAAGCCTAACTAACCAACACTTAGGGCAATACTTGTTTAAATTTAATTTCAATTAGTTCTATGAATATTTTTTTACTGACAGTTCGTGAGAAAGTGTTATGACTGAAAATTTCATTTTCCGAGCTTTGCCGATTTTGAATCACCACGAATTTCAGGGTTTGCAATGCAAAACTGTGTCTGAAAAGTGATATGCTCCAAATGAGGACCACAGTGGAACATCTTGCTTATAAAGCAAAGTAGACTTTTGTTGGACTGAGTTGCCAACTAATTTTCCACGTATATATTTAGATACATTTTGAGGCAAATATATCACTTTTATCCCTTAAGCTTGAACCCTTTGTAAGACAAAGGTCTGCTTTATACTTTTTGCCTTTTTAAATAAGTAAATTTTTAAATATAGTTTTCAACAATACTAATTTCCTTGCAGTTTAATGAATATATAGGCACATATATCAAAAAAATGTTGAACTTATATGGGTACCCCTAATGTGATTATATGCTATAAGAGTTATACATATGAATGTCATTGAGTGCATTTTACACACGATATATACATATATAAATTACATTACTTATATACTTATGTTGTTAGCCCTATACATCGGTATTCGATTCGATAGTTTTGAAAATTTATTATATTATTTTCCGTACTTTGCTAAACACAATTGTTTTCGTTAGTATCACATTTTGAATGTGTCGCCGCTACTTACAGGCTATAATTAGTATAGCTTACACATTAGCGCTTATAATTAGCAAATGCATGTATTACACACTAAATATTTAATCTTAATCTCTCTTATCAAGTAAATGAAACGTTTGTGGCACACTTCCGCGCCTAATTTTATGCTTCATTAGGTTTTAGCGTTTTTTTTCTTTACACATATATTCACCGTTATATTTTGGCAAACAAAAGTTGGTATTGAATTTTTTTTTTTGCTTCACGCGCTTCTTATCAGAAACGATTGTCATTGGAGCCTAAATGTATGGAGCAACTAAAATATGTAAAATTTAATTGTCGAAACAAGCATTTAGGAGCAAACAAAATGTGTGTAGTTCAATTATCGAAATTATTGAATTGAAAATTACTTCGTATTTTTAAATTAGAAATGGAATTTTTGATTACCGATTTCGTGATATTTAATTGCTCCGGAAATTGGAAAAGCATATAAGCAAAGATAGGTGAAGAAGAAGTGCAGTTGAGTGAAATGAAGCAAAAATAGCGTTCGAATTCTTTTTGCAGTTATAATGCACCTCCTGCTGTTGTTGGGCATGCTTTTCTGCATTAAATCATTAAAATTCCCCGGAAAGAAAGCCATATCGTACTGAGTGCTCTCGAGTGTTGACTAAGTTGCTGCATATGTGTGCGCTCATCTGAGAAAACATTCTTCTGCCAGTACCTCTGTATGCATGTAAAATTGTAAAGTGTTTTTCCGATGTCTAGAGGTATCTTCACTTATGCGTATTCGTATGGTGGCAAAAGCGGAATAGAATCATATCTTATAATTGCGAAATATCCGCACTTAAATCAATGGAAATGGCTCAATTACATTCAAAAACGGAGACATTCCCTGCATATGAAGTAGCTCCATTTGTATGTAGTGCCAGTGTACACTTACCACTGAGCATATGTTAGGTTCAGTTCTGGAATTTCACGCATTCAGTACAGTTTATGTAGGTTGGTGCTCACTGAGGCTTGAAGAATTAATTTTGTAGTTACTAGAGAAGTTTTTTAACAGTAACGGGAGACGAAAGTTATTTAGTTGAAAGGAGAGCCGCAGGGTAGAGGAAAATGCTTAGTTTTCTAGGTAGATTTTAGATATTTACCACAATTCGAAGGCATTAGAAGATCAAAGATAACTATTTGAACCGGCTCTCCCCATAAACTCTTTGAGTCATATTTACTCAAAAAAACATGAAACAATCGATGGAAATTGATATCAGTGGATACTTTGTTATTATTACCGATCGCAAGCAGGTGAACAATGTTTTGAGGTTTGCTGGTGAGCCATATCATACTGCGGTTCAAAATATTCTCACTTATTCACATTGGACAAGAACTCCTTAGCAATCCTCGGACCAATCACAGTTTCTTTGAAAACAATGGATTTATAAACGAACTCATGGGGTTTAATTTTTATAGGAACGTATCAGACAGCAGAGGATTATAAAGGCGCAGATGCTGTTTGTGAAGTTGGTCGGTAATGAATATGCATCTAGGCTTAGTAGGCTAGAAACGTCGTTTGAATTGTATAGTTGAGGATATAAAACGCGGTATAAATTCGTGAAAAGGGAAGATGCACTGGAGTTGAATAAAATTATTAATTTTACTTAAAATATCTGAGTGATTATAACCTGAAATAAAAGGTATGTATTAGGTTAGTCGTTGTTTCCTCTGTTTCGTCTTCAAACTTTTCTGAAATTTTCGAATTATTTAAATTAAGTAAATAAGAGCAAGAGCTCAGCCAGACATCCGCTGCAGATTTTAAAGTAATATTAATATATTCCGAGGGTCCAAATTGAGGCTACTATTCCAATCGTTTCTGCTTACGACGTATTTGTTTAATTTTATACAATCTTATTTATAGGTTTCTTAAAAATAGTTATCGTTTAATGCTTTCGAATGATAAAAAATATAACTCCGCTTCGCTACACGTGGAGCTTGTGTACATATTGGTTGAGAGCACTTACGTGTGCGTTGTGGTTGTAAACGCCACCTGCTTTCCTCTTTCTATCGTTCTGCCCGCTCTCACAGTCCATGGCGAAAACGCTAAAGTCGTCGCTGGTGTGTTGACACTTTTATTTGTGGCTGCTGCGGTAGCTGAGGCGCTTGCAACATCAATACTCGTCGGTCAGTTCACACTGATCAGCGGTTCGATTGTGGTCAGCTGCAGTTGCTGGGGTTGTTGTAGTTGTTGTTCGGTTTTATAATGCGTTGGCGGTGTGGGCAGTACAACAACGATTGCTTCAGAGGGCAGATTATTATGTGCTGGCGACATGGTTGCCGCAGCACCCGCGGCCGATGGCGCACCTGGTGGTATGACGGTGGCAGCTGCGGCTACTGCCGCCATGGCGGTGGCCGTATTATTGCCGTTACAACTATTATATGTTAGACTATTCAGAACGCTATTTGCTGTGGCTGGTGGTGATGGTGGCAGTTGTGATGGTGGCTCTTTGCTTGGTGGCGGTGGTGCGGGCGGCAACACCAGCTCATCGATGGTGCAAACGCGGTCATCGATGGGAAATTTGAAGTTGATTTCATTTGTGGGCGTGGTAGGGGTATTAGCGTGCTCAGGCGGGTTGCTGCCATTTACACCATTTCCGTTACTAGTTTCTAAACCCTTTTCGATACACTTACCGCTCTCACCTAAGAAGAGGGTGGATGAAAGAAAATATCATTAGTATATTTTGTAATTTTATATCAAAAAGTTTCCTGTTTTATGTGATATATGATATGTTTCTCATTTGAATTAATTAGGTCGATCTTAACGTAAATATGTGTAAATATCTCGAGCGCAAGGCAAAATGTAGCCATGAAAATACTTAAATATATGATCTGTGGTTTAAGTCAATAATATACCAAAAATATTGATTAGTACAACATTTTTATAGCCTGTACAGGGTATATCAAGTTTGCCACGATGTTTGTAACACCGAGAAGGCAACGTCTGAGATTCTTTACAGAAGATGTACGAGCTGTGTTCAAAGGAAATGGCGAATTTTGATTTTTCGCGGGCTGTGCACATTCTATTATCGGTATTTTGTTTTTGGTATAATCGGACACATATGTTTATCATGTGCTTGCATTAGGAGCCAATTTCTATTGGTGGTTTGTTTTTGACAACAGAAAAGGTTAGTCACGTTTTTGTGTGCTCTTCGATTTTTGACTTTTGAAAGAAATGAATCAAATAATATTATATGTAATGAATTGTGCGTTAAAATGTGTTTATAAGTAATACAATCGCTTTACATATGCCCAAGAAGATATCGATCACGACAACCACCATGGAGATGCGACCACATCAAAAAGCAAAGAAAACATCGAAACAGTGAAAAAAATTGTTCTTGAAAATCATCGAATCACTATTAGGGAAGTTGCAGAGAATGTTGACATATCAATCGGCTCATGCTGTTGAATTTTCTCATATAGTTGAGGCATGAAACGTGTGGCAGCGCAGTTTATTCCGAAATTGCTAAATTTTGAGTAAAAGTAATGTCGTAGTATCACTCGGGAGTTGTTGAATGACGTGAAAAACGATCCGGGTTTGCTCAACGGATTAGTTTGGCTCCCTGCGACTTTTTCCCATTCCCAAAACTAAAAAAAATAATGAAAGGAAAGCGTTTTGCCACAAGTGATGAGATCAAGTCAGAATCGAAGAAAGAGCTGATGGCCATACCGATAAGCGAACTTCAGAAGTGCTTCGAGGATTGGAAAAACCGTCGGCACAAGTGTATTATATCCAAAGGGGGGGGGAAGGGGACAAAATAGCTATTGATAAATAAATATGTACTTTTCAAAAAAATTCTAAATTCACTTTGCGTAAAAGCAACACCCAAGATCAGCGACTAGAGTAGTCGTCAGTAGCACCAGTAGCCTCATTACAACAAAATTCAACAAATATTTTTTTAATAACCTTTGCCAATAAATATTTACGAGTAAATTTAGTCATGTTCGTCTGTCTGTATGCAAACTCAGTTTTCGAGATATTGACCTCAAATTTTGCCCCTTGTATAGGATTTTTAGATTATTGTCCTGGACTTCGCTACAATCGCCGAACGAATTGTTCAGATCGGAATAATATAGCATACTCCTATAACTGCCACTGGCTGATCAAATCAAAATTCAAAATTGTATTCATAAATATTCTTTTTTCCTTATTAAGTAATCTTAATTCGACTTGAAGGTTGTTTCTACCAAACTACGTGGATAGAAAGAACTAGCAAAATATACCATATTATAAAAGTCTGGAATACTGTATTTCATCAGAAATATCGTTAGTAAATAGCAAGAACAAAATCGGACCAAGACGATTAACTTGCAGAAACCCTTAAGGCTCGCAAATTCACGGTGGAATGGTGCCAGGGGAATAATGTCAATAGACACTATAGTTTGAAACATTGATTTAAAAGTGAGCAGTTTATTGTAAGTATTTAGACCGAATTTCCAATCAATGAGAGGGTACAATGTCTTAATCACAATATTTATTTTATTAAAAATATTCGAAACATGTTGTTATACTCTTGTAGCATGTTGAGCAGAGTGTAATAGTTTTATTCAATTAACGGTTGTTTGTATCTACTAAAAATAATCGAGTTAGATATAGTGTTATACATACAGGTTGGTTGAAAAGTTTCAGCTCTCACCAAGAAATATCACTACTAGCTTTAATTTTCTTTTCTCAAATTGGTACATCTGTCGTGAGAGCACATGCAAAGTTACAAGTCATTCTGCAAATTAATTCTTTGTTTACAAGCCATTTGAAGTTGACATGTTAGAGTATTTTTTTAAATCGAATGTTGTGCAGTTATTTGATTCTTTGTTTTAAAATGTTTAAAGGCAAAGGAAATTTATGAACAATTATTAAAACTGTATAAGGAGTCCTCACCTTCAAAATGCACTGTTGGGCTGGTGAATTTAAACGTCGTCGTACTAGGCCTGAAGACAATCCACGCAAAGGACCGCGAAAAACCGCAACCACACCAGAAATATTGATCAAGTTCATAATATTGTTGGTAAGGATCCAAGTATTGTTTCACATGGAGCAGTACATATTAAAAAGCTGCTTGGAAAGTTAGTGCCACACACGTTAATAATTCAACAAAAATTGGATCGAAAACAAATTTCTCAGCATAGTTTGGAGCATTTTAAGCAGAATATGGATGAGACTTGGATATACTACCATGGTTATAAATTGAAACAACAACGCTTACAGTGGTCTGAAGCAGGTTGCTCAGCTCCAAAGCAGGTGAAGTCACAACGATCAGCAAAGAAGGTTATGGCATCAGTTTTTTGGGATGCAAAGAGAATTTTTGGTGAGTGATTATCTGCAGAAAGGTAAAACAATCAATTTTGAATGTTATTGCAGTCTTTTGGATTAGCTGGATGAAAAAGTTTGTGGAAAAGACCTCGTTTGCAGCTCGCAAAAATATTTTAGCAGTGACGAAAGTCAACGAATCAAAGTACGAATTGCTTGAGTATCCACTGTTTTTACCAGATTTGGCTCCCAGCGACTACTACCTGTTCGTACCAAAAACAGTACTTTTTCATTTCGAGCGCAGAAACTGTTCAACCATCTTGTATATAAATGCTCAGGATGACGAGACGAGTTGAATTCTGAATGACTGTTTGTCTGTCCGTCCGTGTGTGCAAGCGGTAACTGGACTAAAAATTAGGATTGGCAAAAAAGCAAAAACGAGCTCTTAGATGATCTAATTGGACCACTGCCACGCCGACAAAACGCCATTAATCGAAAGCATTTATAATTTCATAACTAAGCACTAAATTAAGATATAAAGTTGTTATTTGGTACACGGGATTGCAGTAGCAAGTTGCACCTGTGAACGAATATGTTTGAAAAAGGGTCTTCTTCTAATAAACCACTGAAGCTACAATATTCAAATTCGCCTAGGACAAATCCTACAATACCCCTTATCGATAGTGCGAAAATGGCTTTTTAGGAGCCGGGGTCAAAATTGGACGATGGGCCTGGCACCGCTAACATTTAGGTGAAATTATATATGTACATATCTCCGGACCTACTACACCAATTTCAACCAAATTCGGTATATACTTGTAACATAAGCCTAACGATTCTATGTCACAATGCGATGGTACACTCACTTTCCAAATAACACAATTTTGAATTCCATATGATTCATTTTCTTTCCAGTATTCAAGCACCAATGAATATATTCGGATAAATTTGGCTTTGATGTATCCTTGTACGTTGCAAGAGTATAAAATGTTCGGTTATATACGAAGATAGTCCTTCCTTATTATTTATAAATTAATTTTGTATCATAAATAACGCTGAGATATATTATTTTTTCATGCCAAGGAACAGTAGCATTGATTAGTGCAACACAGCTCTTGGACAAATATGGAATAAAGTTTTGAACGATTTTAATTAGTTCATTCGGAAACCTAAATTGATTTATTTTGTAAACGTGTCCATCATGCCACACTGAGTCAAAAGCAGCTTTGATGTCCATTAATACCATACCATGGATCAACAGTGTTATGTTCATTTCTTTCAAAAACCTTTTCCAGTATTTTACTGATTGATGGGAGTAAACCTATGGGATGGTAAGAAAAAGAGTCTTCGGTTGGTTTATTATTTATATTATTTAAGCCTTTTTCCATGCTTTTAGAAAGTAATTCAACCGTTAGCATACAAAAATTATATTTACAAGATAACGCACTCCTTTTTTAGGTAGAGATTTCAGACAACTTGTGTGAATCCTATTAAAAATTTGACTAAGAAACGCACATTTTTCATTAGCAGTACAGTAACAGATTGTATTTTCTATCAACGTTGGTATGTTTGAATATTACTTCTTAAAACTATATTTTCGAAATTTGCATTTTATTTGCATATACACAATATATGTATGTGTGCACATACATGTGCATCAACAAGCCATTTCCTAGTTTGTAATCTTTTCTGCCACGAACAGTCGCACAAAGCAAACTTTCCAGCTGACTAGCACATTACAGATCACGTTTGTTTTGTCGTTTGCTTGTTTGCTTTTAATTTCTTCACAGATCGTATTTTATGTTTTTGTTTTGAGCTTTTTTGTTGATTCTGCTTTACCCTGCAGAGCACTTTTAATATAATATATCTATCCCCACCAAAAAGGAAACAAATGAAAAGAAATTGTGTTCAGAGTTTTTCAAAAGTTTGCTTTCGTTCTGCCGCTGGCGCTGGTGTCGATAATGGTTTGTGTGGCTTCACACACAAATACACACACATGCGACTTTTGGTTGTTTTTCTGCAATTCTACAACTATCATTACCGTTAATATTATTATTGGCGCAATGAAGTGTTGGTGTTGTTGTTGTTGCTCTTTTATTCATTTATACTTTTTATGAGCGGGTAGTAAGTTAGTGCACGCCACAGGATTGCTTTTACAGTTTGAAAAATGGCGATAGCTGCTTTCCGGCACTCTCAGCGCTGCAACACAGCATGCCATAAAGGAAAACGATATCGTTAACGTGGCAAAGCGGAAACGCGAAACAACAAGCCAACTTTCCTACACTGTGGCATTGAGTGGCGTGATGCTTTGGAAGTTCGAGCAGCGGAAGAAATTTGATTTTGGCAATTACGAGTGCTTAAATGATTGCTTTGCTTAGGTATAAAGGCTGCGAGTAGTAAAATGTTGAGGTAAAATTTCACTTTTTAACAGGCTTTTTTTTTGTTGCTTTATGTCATTTACATTTTTTTTATTTACAGCTATCGAGTGAAATGCTTTGACTTTGTAACCTTTCCGAAATTAATGGAAAATGGTGCATTTGTAATCATAATCGGATTATAGCTACTGCGGTGTGATTGAAAAAGAGCGCTATAACTCTTAAAGCAATGAAGCTTGGCGCAATAAGTCACATTTGCGGAATTTCTGTGTCGCAAGCACTACTAAGTACCTTGTAACGGTATTGTTAAAAATAAAACAAGTGCAATAGCTGTCCACAGAATATCAACAATAAGTTTTCAAAATTTCACTTTTAGTATGACCCAACTGACTTGCATGGGAAATTTCATGAAGTTGAACTCATATGTTTGGTAGTTTGTAAGATTCTACACTTCAGCTTTGAGATGTTCACACATCCTTCAAATCCTCGACACTTTCCGGTCCTTCCGAGATTGTGGCCTAATTTGAAGCAATTTGGTAAATGTGGTGTCGAAGACCATTCTAATCGGTGCTTCCCCATGACAACTATGATTAACTTCGTCCCTCCGTTAAATACCTAGTTAGCTCCTTATAATGACCATACTGGTTTCTAACTCTCAGATGGCACTCCGATAGCCGAGCGGGTGTACTTCGCTTCGTCGATCTATGAGAATCCGCTGACCCACTTTTAGTAGTTTTTGGATAACACAGGAAAAGAAATATCTATTAATCGAGTTGGATCAAACCTACGACTTAACCTAATTATTTAGTTTATTTCTATAGTTTGTTACTTATAAAGGGTAATTTGGTGCTCTCTTTCCCCGTGAGAAATACAGCGTGAGCTCTGCTTAATTTGAAGCGACACGAGAAACATCAACAGAAGTTAATACGCAGTCCCTCACCATAATTGTGGCACCAGTTCAAATAAATATTTTTTAAATTAATAGCTGAATAATTTGATACCACTTCATTATTTGCGCCATCTTATACAAATATTTACCGACTCTCTCAATTTTGAGTCGAGTTGATTTTAATGCAGCTACTGCTATGAAATATATATAATATATCCTCCGTTCTTTTCATTAAAACTTCACCTTCGTTCGCTGCTGGAGGGGGAGTTCAGAGCGACCCGCCGTGGCCCCTCATTAATTAAGTGCAATTTTTTTTACTTTTTAGCTTCCGTTCTCCCAAGTGGCACTCGAGTTCATTTTCGTTTATGTTTTAATTTTGCATTTTCACTTTCTCTTCAATGCATCTTTTTAGCAATTTAAATTTTTTCTTCACACTTTTCGCGGTCTACAGCCTTAAGTGTGAGCTTACTTCTGTACCCGGCTACGCAGCGTAGAAAGTTAATAAGCCATGCTGTTTGCAAATGATGAAGGCTTGCCTTCTGCGTAACCCCTGCGCCTGTGGTTCTATGCCCAAAAGGTTATGTCAGCGGCGGGATAGGTAGCAGTGGTATATGCTGGGAATATGCAGCACTGCCTCTCCGTATTACTTTCAGAGTTTTCACGTTTCCCATGCATTTCTTGCTCCCGGCGTTTATGCTCAGAACCCTGAGCGTTTGCTTCAACACCTATTTGGTTTGGAGTGACGTTGTGAGGTTTATGCAAATGTTGTTTTTTTGTTTTTGCAACAAGTTAACTTAAATATACTAGGAGGAATTTTTCCGCGTACATTTTCTTAATTTTCACTTTTGGTTTTTCTTGCCTCCTTTCGAGCAACATTTAAATTAATTGGATCTTGTTTATTGCTTGCTCTTGGGGTTACCACTTTCTTAACATCAGGTTTTGTATCTTCGCACATTTTATGTGCTTTTAATTTTTTTTATTAATTTTAGTGCCTGTTTAAATTAATTAAAAACTATTTGTTTTGACGGCGATGCGAGCAATTTAAATGAGAATACTGGCGTTTCTAATTCTCTTCGTTGGTTCTATGTCATAATTACTGACCATTTGTATTAAATGGACAATACTAAGAAGCTTAGTAAACCTAGTAAGCTTTAAAGCTCTGCTCATTACCAGCATAATTCGGGAACAATACAATTCTTTAACTTATCTCTTCGCTTGCACTTTGTTTTCCTCACCATTCTTCTCTTTCGGCTTGAAGTTTTTGTTGCAGGAATCGCCACGGCAAATAGCAAAGGAGCTGGCTTACAATGGCTACTACAACACATTATCCCCGCTAAGCCTTTGTTTTCTTACCGTTATAAAACGTTTTGTCTAAGTGCAAATAGTGAAAGCTCACCAATTTTTTTATTTCGCTTCTGCATATGTTTCCAGTTATAGTATTTGCCTCGGCAGCATTTGTGGAGTATGAAGTATTCACAGTTAACTCACTAATTCTTACACATAAACTTCACATTTCTCTTGTTTATTAACGAGAAATTAAAACGGTGAATATGAGTGTACTCTTTGTGCGAGCAATTTGGAATACTTACTTAAGTCACAAAGAATCCTCAGTAGCTACTGTTATACTATATGTTAGAAGAGTAGCTTATCTCTCACTACGAAAATAGTAAGACAACGTTATATTTCTAATACAAGATGTTCTTTTTACTTCCCGAAGAGGGGAATTTGCGCAATCACATTTTTTTATATACTCTAACAATCTCTTGATGTTAAATTTTTTATATACATATACTAGCGGCAATTAAGTCTTGTTTGACTCTGTTGAAATTTAAAATAGCAGGATCATTTTGTACTAGTTATTAATATTTCGATGTCTTCGGGATTATTTCAATGAATAAAATAAGTGAACTCGTAGAACCGATATTTATATGTCTTATTTTTCATCGCTTATCAAGGGCTCTTGCGAAAGATACATATATATATTTGTTTTACAGTGACTTGGACTATTATTACGAATGTACCAAAGTTTAATTTGGTCAATCAACAGAGAGGCATACAGAAAGGGAACTGGAAACCGGTAACTTTTCATGTTTGTTTCATGAGTTCGGGACGTCCTAATATCAAAACAATTGTGGGGTAATCCGAGAATGTAAGCCATTAGATATAGAAGTGTGTTTAATGGGTTAATATTATATACCCTAAAGTTTACACTTCCAGTTAAACACGTGTAACGTGATACTTGACTGCCAAAAGTACTCGACGTTTATCATCATTAATTCATTTGGCATAATCACCAATTCGCTTTCACTTTCACTCGCTACTCACCTCCGTTCAGTCGATCCTCACGTGTATAGTAACGTGCTCGCCTTTTGGAAAAACAAACAGCCATAGCCAGTATAATGACAACAATTAAAACCAATATAATGCCACCAAGTATGGCGAGAGTATTAAGGCCACCTAAAAGTAAACAAGCGAAGGGTGAAAATAGTAAGTAAATGAAGGAATGGAGAAGAAAATACTTGTAATAAGAAAAATGCAAAACCAAGTGATTGTACTCATTATGGTAAAACAACTAGGTAACAAAAGCTACTGTGAGCTCGTTATAGGGCAACGTAACCCCTGATTATAGTTGCCAGTTTGCCTTTTACTCAAATACTGCATGATTTTGTAAATTATTAATTGGTGCTGTTTTATCAACTTGGTTTCAATACTTTAAGCAGTTTAAATGAGTTCAAAAAGCAAAAGTAAGAAAATAGGTTAATTGCATATATTGGATCTACAACTAAATTCGTGGATATTGCCAAGAAATGACGTAACTTGATTATTATTCCATTCTTCCTAAATTCCGAACATGCGTTGGAAAGCTGTTCCCTTGTGCGTCTTTTTTCGAATATGTCATTAATTTGAGCCGTAAACAATATGGATTTTCATACCCTGCACAGATAACTATTGGGTTTACCAGGATGTTTGTAAGACCCAAAAAGAAAGAAAGAATCGGAGTCCCGATAAAGTATATAATAGCTGAACGAACTGAGTCGATTTAGCCAAGTCCGTCAAAGTGTCCTTTTCGCACGTCCTTTTCGCACCAAGAAGCTGCTCCTTTGTCGGAACCGCCGATATTGGACAACTATAGGGTTGGCTGACATACAAACTGAACGATCGAAATCAAAATAAAAATCCTTTAAACCCTTTTATCAAAAAAAAAAAAACACCTGTGAAATGAGTTGTTTGTTCTTGTTTTCACTCAAATACATATGTCGAATTTTGTGACTGAAAAAGTGATCTTTTCGGATAGAAGCTAACCGAACGTGCCAAAAGTTGTTTGAAAGTAGGGATTTCGAATTGGATGCCGAAAAAGGTCTTGGGCGGCCACAAAAGTTTGAAAATGAGTAACTGGAAACATGACTCGATGTGATCTTTGAAGTCATTTAAGCAGCGATATCAAAACATTTAAACCAGCTGGATATATTCAAAAATACCGAAATTGGGTGCCATATAAATCGAAGCCAAGAGACGTTGAAAAACGACTTAAAGGAAGTCGTTTTTGAATCGGATTGCGACTGGTGATAACGGCAAAGTCCTTGACGCCAAGGTAATGCTCTGGATTCGGTGGGATTAAATTATGAGCTTCAGAAATCGGGAAAATACATTAATGGGGAACGCTACCTAACCTTGGCTCTTTTGATTATTATTTGTTGCGGTCAATGCAGAGTGCTCTTCAAACCAAATCACGGTATCAAATTGGCAAAATGGCTTGATTCATTCTGGGCAGTCAAGCTGGCGAAGTTCTCTTGGGATGGAATCTCTAAATTGCCAGAAAGATAAGAAAATGTTATAGCTTCATATGAGCAATATATTGAGTAATACTATTGCACATAATTTTCTTGAATAAACGTTGAAGCCGCACGAAAATTGTTATAGACCTTTTATATTCGTTTAGATATACTCATATTTGCTTCCAAAATGTTTTGTAGATCATGAGCAATTGTTAGCAAGTAGTAGAAATGGAATGTATTGACGGATTTAAATCCATGAAGATTTCATGTGTGTTTTTCTTTAACATATTGTAATCTTTATATAATATATCGTAATAATTACATAATTTATTTTGCAATCATTGTATATTATATTGTAATCATTACTTCTACAAACATTCGATCAATTATTCTTACCTCGTTCAAGAAAATTGTGCGACGTACTGGCTGCATTCTGCTCCTCATCTGTTATGTAATCCAAGCAATCATGAAGCTTTGATATGTCCAAATCTGTGATTTCGGAACCGCGCAACGGTTTTGGCAAAAAACAAATCGGATAAGTTTCCCATTTCCACTGGAGCTGCAGCGAAATATTAGTAAATCCATAAATATATGCGAAAGTTGCGATGTTCCGTAAAAAACAAGCGCATAAATTCAGAATTAAAATAGGAATTTGCCACAAATCACAGTTGTGATTGCAACAAATGCAAAAACAAATGCGCTATATTTCTACTAGTGTACGATTTTGCATTTGCAAGTATTTGCATACAAATGCAAACGAAATTGCGGGTAAATTTATCGAAAGCAAAACAGAAAAATAACAATAAGTGCAATTCAAAAAGTCGTAGCATCACCAGCAGCATCGCCATCTAGTGGCTGTGTTGGCAGTATGCATTTGTATGCAACAAATGCTTGTTGCATGAGCAAAACTGCGCTATTCCAGCATTGCCGCATTTTTTGCATTTGCTTTTTGAGGTCAAATTGTCTGTGGTACTCACATGCTGCACGACATTTATTAATTTTCCCATGTGACACTCGTCGCATATCAGCGGATTGTTGTCCAGCCGCACGTTGCGTATGCGCTGAATGCGCACCACTGTGTCCTCATTGATGCCGTACAGTTGGTTGCGCGACAAGTCCAAAAACTGTTGGTGTTCATTAGTTGTGCGAATATTATTTGCGAACGATTTGTATAATTATAAATATGTGTGGCGCATGTAATGAAAAGAGAAATACTTATTAATGAATTATTATAATATTATATTGTATATATATATATAATACCATATATAGATATACCAAACTATTCGAACAATACCGTATTGTAGGATATAAATTAATGGGAGTATTTCCTATCAAGTATTTGTATAATTTTTCGAATTATAGAACTTAGTTTACTTAAGATTAAGTTAGTCTTAAAGTTTAGAATTTCTCTTGCTTCTTTATAAATTCATATCGAGGTAAACTAATAAGTTTTACTTTACATGTTTAGCTTATAATTAATTCCTTCTGGTAGAGTTACGGAAAATTATCTAAAAATGTATTATCTATCTATTTTTGGTATCCATAACAAATTTGAAAGAATGTATTATAGGTATATGCTACAATACATATAGTGGTCGGTTATCAGCGGTTCTGACAAATGAGTAGGTTCTTGGAGAGAAAAGAACGTGTGCAAACTTTCATATTTATATCTCAAAAACTAAAGGACTAGTTCGTATATGTACAGACAGACGGTCATACCTATATCGTCATGCTGATTTAACAAAGATATAAGACTTTAATGAAATGCTAATATGTCACACACCACTGCAGTGAATATGGTAATAAATAAATGCACTTGTAACTTTGAATACATAAACTGAATTTAATAGAAATATATTAATACAATATTAAATTTACAAAATAAGGCCTAAGCTAGATAAGGCTAAATGAAAGTATGTTTATCCGAAACGAGTGATCGCGAAAAATGTGTGGACGAATCGATTCAAATGAAAAATTACTGCGCTGCTCAGATCCGCTGGCTGCTCATGTGAGTTCGCGAAACGGTGTTGAAAAAGTATAATCGCACCGCGCAGGCTCGTTGTCATAGTAGAAGCCGACGTTTCTTTCTATGTGTTGCAAACTTGGTGACAAATTTAATACGGGGCTTGCCTTTTATATTTCGGGATTAGAGATTAAAATCAAATATTAGTCATCGAAAAACACTTTATTGTTTTTCCAATTATTCTCCATTAAGATTTGCGTTGTTCCAGTTATATGATTACGACATGCCAAGTTTTACCAAAAAAACAGGCAAGAAGTTGCTTGGAAGTACTTCGTGCCCGAACAACCTTTGTTGGATTCGACTCATCTGGAAACATCCATACAGTGGACCGCTGTTTATTTTTTTTTACAGTCAAATTTCCATGCAATATTGAATATGTACTGGTCCCACTAATGCCTATAGTTGTCTCTATCTCACGATAGGTCACATGACGATCTTGCAATATTAGTTTGCGCACAACATCAATAGTTTCCAGAACAACAACTGATTTTGGACGACCTTCGCGAAATACCATCGATAAACACTGGTCCTTAGAGTAGCTTCATCGTTGTTGTTGTTGTAAAAAATAATCGAACGTAAATGTTCGCGATTTAATTCTATTTTTTGGCCAAGATGAATATTTTAAGTTATTGTAAGCTACACTAATAGCGCTCGTATGTCAAAACGTTCTGAGTATGTCACATCAAAATGTAAATCAAAAATATCAAACTTTACGATAAAGTTGTGAATTAGCAGAAGGCAACACTAATATACTGTTGCCAAATTTCGAAACATAAAAGGCAACCTACATATGCTCTGTTCAGTGTATACTTTTTTGCAAATGCAATACATAATATGTACATATTTTATTAATTTCTATATAGTATATGGCATAGATAGCTATCCATTGTCGAACAGCAGTAGAAAAAATTACAAAAAGCAAAACATTTGTATATGACAGAAAAATACATGAGGTCATCACATCATAAATTAAATAATGTAAGGTTTGTTGCGTTTGATTATGCGTTATTAGATAGCCTGGCGCAATTTGTGAAATCTTGCACCCTTGAGTCTATGGGAAATATGACAACATTTATCACTACTTTGTCAGCGAAATGGAAATTTTTTCTTTTGAAAATTGAAGATATCATTACGGGAAGAACTTATGAGCATTTACAAACTGTTTAACGAAAAAATGAATGAAATATTTCAAATGGGTTTCCGAAATAGGAAAATAAAATCGTAGAAAACCTGAGTACCTGAAGTTTTACTGAATAAATTCGATCAAAAATAATTATGTTGCCTGCTCGGAATTATCTACGAAGAACTGTCTTGTAATTTTGTTGATAAATATCACATACATATATAAACAAATATCAAAGATGAGTTTATTGGAAATTGAAAAGATGACGTAGTTAGACTTGTTATGCATTAAATTTTTTTAAATGTATCTTGTCTTTGTACAAAACCGGTAACATATACTTGTTGGGTTCATTAATTTTATTAAATTGACACTCTATGCAGAAACCAAGAAACGATTACTTATAAGATAATTATTAAGTGTGTTACTCCTTAAACGTTCATTCCCACCGCTTAACGAAACTATTACACTTTGCTGTAGAAATAGTAATATTTTGAAATGTTCGAAAATGATCAAACGGTATAAAATACTAATATCAGTGTAATATAAAATAACGGCAAATATTCAAAAAAAATGCCACGAATGCCAAATACATTTGGCCTTGTGTGTTTAATTTAGATTTCGTTGAACATTTCATTTCAGCCAGCAGCAACCACAAATATTATTTCCCGGAAGGCAACGCCTGGAGCGCTGCGACCGACTATTTGTGTGAAATGTGGAATATGTATGTACATATATATTATATACCTATTATACATATACTGGAAGATTGAATGCAAATATTTTTTAAAATATATATTTAGTTTTCATTTATGTGCAAATTTATATGATTTAAATATATTTTTAAAAAATTCATGGGTAGGAAATTAAATTGTATATGTATATAGTAATTTAATTATGATATTTCTTTAGAAGTTATACAGTTTTTCCAAACAATATTTTTAAATTTATTTACTAAAGGAAGTTTGTAATTGATATAACGGTAAATAACTTTGTGAGTAAAACTGACCGCCACGGAAATGAAATTCCCTGGATTTATGTACGATCGAATTTAAGGAGAAGGAAAATTATTAGAAATATTTCAATTGATATTTTATTATATTAAAAACAGTTTTAATTATTTAGTTGATAATCGAAATATAAAAAAAATATTACAAACTGCAATCCAAAATTATTTTTATTAGTTAAACTGTTTTATTAGCTTGATAGAATGATCCGATTTGGGTCAAATATGCAAACGGTCCAATTATTGACAGTACAGGTCCGAATAAAGAGCTTAGATATAGGGGAGAAGCTCGTAATAGATTCCGTGCAAGACTGAACAAACACATAGCAAAACCTTCCTGTTCATCAATCGTGGCTTGGCCACTGTTTGTGCCGGGTCGACCACGACCTATTTCGCTTGACTTTGTCGACGTCGTAAGTGACCCACTTTTCATCACCAGTAGCCATCCGCTGTGGAAATTTAACGATTTTATGCCGAGCGTATTTTTAATTCCAGCCATTTTTTAAATGGTACCATTGATATTTTGTGCCAATTTTAGCTCCTGGGTAATCCAAACAGTGCTTACACTGGACGCGACATTTTGCCACATTTAATCTATATTTTCGATAATTGGTCTTCCAGAGCGTGGTACATCTTTGACATCAAAATTACCGGAACGGAATCGACGAAAGCAAAATTGCACGCGATTGGCTATCACAGTTTATGTATCGGAACCATAAACACTATTCGTTTTTAGCCGCTTGGTTTGTGTTTAACCCTTATCGAAGAAGAATTCTTAAATATTATATATTTCTTCTGTGTCTATAAAGCAATCACAAAAAAGTCTGAGAATTTTTTTTCAGTACGAAATCTTATATTTCAAAGACCGCGTTAGATAAAGATTACTAAAGCCATTTATAGCTTTCATCTCACAAACAGGAACAGCTGCAACTGCTATTTTATCTATTGTCTAATTTATCAGGAGGGGTCGCTGATGTTTGTGTGATTGGCAAAAAGTAGAAAAGAGTGAGTTATGTAAGTATGCTTCAAAGATGAGAATAGGCATTTCTTGAGTGCAACATCCTGAGACACCCCTGCAAATAGGGAAAAGAACCCGGCTGTTCTCGAATTGTTGTTATTATCATAAAGAGGTGAGAGATAATCGAAATTTCGAAACAACAACAATAAATACATTCAAAACTGTACAGATCCAAATGTTCGGACAGATGCTAACACGCAATGGTGAATGTGTGACAACAATGTAGTTTACACTTGCATGTTGCAATATTTTGTGGGTGGCATGTTGCATGTCCGTTATATTATTTTTATATAAGTACATATATCTCGCCACACTTGTTATTGCCTTTGCATGCATGCAACGAATGTCGCTCGCTGCTGCTCGTAATGTAGGTCTGTAGTTTGTCGGGTCGGCCGTTGGACGTCGGTTGTCGGTTGCATGGCAGAGCAATTTGTAGCAGACGAGCGATGACGAATTTTTTGCACTCAGTTTATATTCTTTTCAAGTTTGTTGTTTTTCTACTTTACTTTTCATTTCATTTTTCTATTCATTTTAAGCGCTAACGCTTTGGACTTGCCAGCTTGCATGCCACACAGAAATTTGTGTTCGGTTTTATCGCAGTGCTAACATTTGGACATTGTTGTTGGGAGTGTTATATCGCTTTTTACTGCCATGACAGACTTGACGCACACACAGCAACACAAATACACACACATTTAATTTTATTTTGGTTTAGACGCCTCCACGCTCAACTAACCAGTGGTCGCAAAACTTTTGTTTCAACTTATTTCTATAAATTTGTCCGGATTTTCGCTCGCTTCATTCTTCATCTATGCACTCACCTCCAGCTCCCGGCACGGATCGATTACTTGCAATGACATATTGTCCAAATGATTGCCGGATATGTTGAGATAGCGCAGCTGCTTGAACGGCACCAGGAGTCCCATCGGCAGCACTCCCATGTCGGCTACCGAGAGATGTGTCAGCTGTGGTATGACCTGAAAATGGGAGACAACAACCACAGCAGATAAATTAAATTCCGTAAGTGATAGCAATGAGCATAGGGCGGTAATCGAATTTTGAGTAGTTGAGCAGGAAGTTCGGAATGTTTTATTGCAAAGTTTTTATTGTTTTTGGTCGTGGAAAAGTTTTTATATTCGATATGGTACTTAAACTGTGCAAACATAATATTTGCAGAGAGATAGATTATATATGTAATTGCTAACCGAGATTAAATGTAATCACTTTAAGAGATTGTGTGCTTTTTAGTTTTATCTTAAATTCAAAGTTAGCTTTCCTTGTGACTAAAATATTTTTAAATAATTGAAGTACGCCTTTGGAAAACACAACTTAAAACTCCAATACTTTAGTTTCGAAAAAAAAGCAATGAAGTCTGATTTAATGTCTATTTAAATAAATTTTCTGAGTAATCGGTTGTGTGGGTGATATATGTTGTAGTTATCCGATTTTCTTTTTGTTTTTCACTGTCACTATTAAGCATGTATAAGAGAACTGTTCTGCAAAAATACGTGCTCTTAAATTTTTAATTAAAGGCTTTATATCGGGAAATAAAAAAATCTGTATACCCGGTTATATGGTAGATACTATGTGATATAGTTGTCCGATCTGGTCGGTCTGGTCTGGATATCTCAAAAATTGACGAAGAAATTTGTATATTCCTGAAATGCTAAAATTTTGGTTCAGATGTTCAGATTTTGTTTTTGTTTGGTTTCTACTCTCTCGTTATCATACCAGTCCATGTCTCTTGTTCCTAATTTTAAAATACTTAGTGACTCTTACACGTACTTATAATGGTCAGATGAATAGTAACTGCAGAAAATTTTTTCCGTTTTCGATCTTGCGAGGCTTCCATTATCCAATTCATAACATTTTCAGTATTCCGGAACATCGAAAGTGTTTAGTTGAATAATACTCTTTTGTAATAAGTTTCCTTCTAATTTTCGAAATGTATTATTGATTATTATATTTACTTTTCCCGTATTTTATGAGTTCCTTCTTATCTTTGATACATGGTCCTAACATTACCATGGAGAAATAAGTTTTTACAGTATACTTCATTTCCAAACAAAGAGTTTTAACAAAATTTTGTATTTTTTTGTTTGCTTTTTTTATTTAATTTCTTGATATTATCTGTATTCGAAAACTTTAGCAAAGGGTTTCCAGTCTTCTCATAGAGCTAAATAGTATTCAGAGCACTTACCTAATATAAAGGACTAATGATCCTTAATTACTAATTGTGATATACTAACTAATTGGTTGTTTTGAAAGAGCCATTCTTAACCGAAAGTCCTTTGTTTTCTGGTTCGCTTCTTCAACTAGCCGTTTGTACAGGCCAACTCTCCTGGAAATGCTACACAAATTGTCTATTGTAAAATAATAAAAAAATATTCGAAAAGATGTTTGTTGTATTCTTTCAAAAGCCAATTTGAACTAATCGAGTTGGTTTTTTCATAAACAATAAGATATACTGGATATTGGTATCGCCTCTCTGAGAGGGCGGTAGACCTAATTTCTGGTGTAAAAAATTGTTACATTTGTCGGATCATTTGTTCGTCTCTTACTGACACAAAGTTCGATATTGTTTGACTGGTATGGTTTATGTTCCAAGAAAATTCTCACAGGAAAGAAATTGAATGAAAGGGTAATTTTCGAGACGACAAGAAAAAAATATATCACAAATTTTCCAAAGAATCCCTACTCTTTCTGGGATAAAGTAAATGAAATTACTGAAATATGTTTCGCTGTACTTTTATGAGCTATAAATATATACTAAGTAAAGATTTGAATGGTTTTCGGTTAGTCGATTAGTGCGTCAAAACTTCCACCCATTTATAAATTTTTGTTCTTGATATATTTATAATATATTATAACAATCAAGCATAAGGGTTTGAAAATAATTATAAATGTAAATTTTTATAGTTAGTGCAATTAAAATCCATCTAAAACACTTTCGACTATTTATTTCTAGTTACTTCCCTAAATGGTCTCACAATTTACATACTCTGAAACAAATCTCCCACCCGTCCTTCAACCAGTTCATTAATTGAAAATCAATTACATATTCCTGCATTCATATGATGTTTTCTGTATGTACTAGACTCACCTCGAATGTTTCACGCATGTCATGCAAATTCATCTGCACATTGCCGCTAATATTCAGCGTTTGCAGATTGCTTAGTCGCCACACTGATTGCGGCTCCAGTCGTACCAGCTTGTTGTATGACAAATCCAGGAACGTCAAATTGCCCAAATGTTTAAACGAGTTGTTGGGCACTTTCGCCAATCGATTGTAGGACAAGTCTGTAAAGAGGAAATATGAAGTGTGACAACAGCGTAGCAGGCGCACTAAAGCACAATTTGTGTGCGGCACTTTGTTGCAAATAAACTTACCCAAGTGTTGCAGAACTTTTTGATTTCGAAACAGCTCATCAACAACGACGGACAGTTGATTGCCATCAAGTAGGACTTTACTGAGATTTTTGACGTCGCGAAATTCATCCTTGTCGAGGAATTTAAACTAAAATTAGAGAAAAAAGTACCAAAGCATGGAAATTTCAAATGTCGGTTAATCTTTCACTGAGAAATGATGTTTGCCAACATTAAATGAACTCAGTGCAATTCAAGTAAAAAAGAAATAAAGTCAAAAGTCAAAAGTCAATAGTCATTGTCTGTGAGGTAGAAAAAATTTTCAACCAAAAGCGATGACTTGCAAAAGTCAACACAACAATGAGTTTAAGGTGTGGCTTTGTAGGTTTATAAAAAAAACAAATAATGCAAATAATTTCGCTCTTGAATTGGCCACGCTTACCTCATTACGTCCCAAATCCAGCTCTTGCAGCATTGGCAATAAATTATACAACTGCGGATTGATTTTCTTCAATTGACAATTACGGCATTTGAAAATGCGCAGCTCCTGTGGAAGGCACAAAGAAACAATGGCTAAATACAAGGTGGAAGCAGTAAAACAAAATATTATATTTGTTTGAATTGGTTTTTCATTTCAATTTTCGATTGATTATTTCTTCAATTTTCTCCACTGCATGTGCGCAATTTAGTGAAAGTTAGCTTATGTTTCTGCGAATTTGAATAACGGCAACAGGAATTATGTGCGGGCATATAATAGCACAGCTTACCGGCAAATCGCGAAATACATCGGGTGGCAGGTCTTGTAATGGATTTCCGCTCAGGTCGAGATACTGCAATTTGTTTAGCAGGAAGAATATGCGCGGAACGAGCTCCAATATTGAATTATCAGCCAAATTGAGTCTTTGAAGTTCCTGAAAATATAACAAAAATTGATTTTATTAAAGAATTAGGCAACTACTAACAAAGACATAAAGTTTTACAAATGATATTCTCTAACCGTTTATATGTAAGTATATAGTTTCTGCTAGAGCTCATTGAGTAGTACAAGGTGCGTAACAAAGTAAACTCTAGTAGCGCCATCTATATGTCGACTAGTGCGTTAGAATCTGCTATCCTTTATCGACTTCCAGTAGAAATTTCATGATTTGAAGTGAAGAATTTCATCTATTGGAAGTGAAGTTATTGCGTTTTAAGTGTCAGTATTTTTTTGTCATCGATGCGAAAATGAGCTTCGAACAAAAAGACAACAATAAATGTTGTTTTAAAATTGGTAAAATTTTTACCGAAACGTTTCAATTGATGAAACAAGTTTATGGCGATGATTGCCTATACCGCAGAAGAGTGCACGAGTGGTTTCAACGTTTTCAAAGTGGTCGTGAGGACATAAATGACAATGAACATGTGGGCCAACCAAAATCCGTCAAAAAAGTCGAAAGTGAAGACAATGCTGATTTGTTTTTATGATTCCAAGGGTATTGTCCACAAAGAATTTGTTCCACCCGGCCAAAACGTTAATGCGGTATTCTACCTTGGAGTTTTGAAGCGTTTGGTGCGCCGTATTCAATGTGTTCGGCCCGAATATCGCGAAGATGGATGGCCGATTGTGGCCGATTATTTGACCAAAAATCACATTTTAACAATCAAACACTCCTGGTATTCACCTGATATGGCACACTTCTACCTTTTCGGAAAATTGCATTTGCCGATGAAAGGAAAGCGTTATGCAGACGTGGAGGCCATTCAACAGGCTTGCACAGGCATTCTGGCGGTCATACCGGGCAACAAGCTAAAACAGTCGTTCGACATGCTTTTGGACCGTGCAAAAAGCTGTATTAAAGCAGAAGGAGACTATTTTGAATAAAATTAATTGATTTTGCCGATAAAACCATTTGTTCAGTCTTTTTTTTAAAGTCCTGTTTACTTTGGAACGCCCCTTGTAGTAACAGCAGCTTTGAAAAACCGGCAGTAAGATATTAAATTTCGTAAATGGTACTTTTGACAGCTATTGCTTGGTTCTAATCAGTTTGGTGTTTAATTTCGCAGATGACTTAAATCGCTTCAGTGTTTAGACATAACTGAATATCATGAGCAGCAACTTAAATTAATTGGCGCTCCCAAACAATAATTCAATCTTTTCCGTGTTCTTGCTTTTAAGAGCGAAAATGTCAATGTTAAATTAAGTTAAAAGTGCAACTAAATGTGAGAGTAAGGCATCTACGCCTTTCTACCATATGTATACTACATTTCTGTACTTTTTAGCTTTCATTTAGAAACCCATTTTCTTGTTTACAGGAAAGACGAATTTTTCGCTTTTTGCTAAGCTATAATTTGTGACCGTAATTTATTTTTCCTGTACGCTTTCTTAACTTTGAAGATTTCACACTAAATTCTCGAAATAGGTGGCTCATAAATTCTAGTTTAGTTTCCTTTGCGATGTGTTCATTCATCAAACACTCTATCCTTATTAATCCATAGTAATCGCTAATAAATATCTTTCGAAATATAAATGCGGGACCGTTGTAAAATATTGTAAGCGGAAGCTTTGCCATCGAAGACAAATTAAAAATAGACGAGGCAGACAATTTTCGCATTCGCTATTTATTTTACGAGCACGATCCACTAGAAAATCTTGGAGGAGTGCAAGCATGCACATACTAAGTGTTTTCGCTGACCCGCACACAATGTGATGGTGAACTATGTAGGACCCTGCAGGAAGTGAAAAACAAGTTTGGATATTATGCTACATATTTGGCAACACGCCTGGGAGAGATTTTTAAAATAAGATTGTTTAAGCAAAGTTAAACTAAAATATTCTAATAAATATCTCAAAAGAAAAAACCTTTAACTTCGGCTGCACCGAAGCTATAATACCCTCCCTCCTTGATCGGCTAGTTTATATGGCAGCTATATGCTATAGAGATCCGATCTGAACCATTTCTTCGGAGATTGTAGTGACTTCATAAACCTCAATCAGTGCCAAATTTCGTAATATCTTGTGAAATAAAAAAGATAAGCATACAAGGATTTGAGTTGGATCGTTCAGTTTGAATGGCAGCTACATGCCATACTTGTAGTTGGGATATGGGGGGTTCCGAAAAAATGAGCAGTTTCTTGGTGAGAAAAGGACGGGTACAAAACTTCAGATCAATATCTCAAAAACTGAGGAATTAGCTACTATAATTTATATAATAAACCCTGTTTAGGGTACAAAAAAAGTAAAGTGAAAATTTTAAAATAATTTCCTGTAGAGACGCAACTGACCCAAAGGCTAAAGCTGAGCGCACGGGCATGAGCAGCTGCATGCTGAATGTTGAGTACCGTTAACTAGATGCAGAGCGAAGAAGCATAATGTATATATTGCAATGTGCAATACAAAAACAGCAAAACGGAAAGAGCAAACACAAGGAAATAAAACAAAATAACACATAAAATTTATTACCGCCCACGTTCGGGCGATAAAAACCCGGTGAATAAGACAGTAGCAGGTGGTGGGGCGAAGAGCCTGTGAGATGAGCATTATTGGCAGTTTAAACGAAACGAAAGTAAATACGAGCTTAAGCCCGGACACTAACCAAGTTGCTGCGAAGCCGGATGCGCATTGGCTCTCGGTTGCTAAGACCTGATTGAATCCATATAAAATATACATATATACATATATTCACAGTCAATTCATCAGCCGAGCGCCTTGGCGATGCAATGCGATAATTACATTAAGTTGGTATTTACGCGTTTTCCACCCGCATTCTGATGAATTTTAAAATTAATGCACAAGGCGTTTCTCAAAAAGTGGGAGAGAGAAAAAAAAAAAACGAAAGGCAATCACAGGGAGGCGCAAATTAAACATTAAACGGTTGTTTTGGTTGGGCAGCTGATTGACTTTGTCTTTATGGAATATTTTCCCTTTTCAAGGTCGTTAAATTGTTTGTTTTTGTTGCATACTTACGGTTAAATGACCAAACGTAGTGCTGGATATGTTTAATATCTTATTCTTGGACAAATCCAGTTCACGTAAATTATCCTGTCCTCGGAAATTATTTCGATTTACATTCGTGATGTTGTTTCTTGATAAATCTGAAAAATAAAGAGATTTTGCTTTTACTAATTTGAACTTACATATAAAAATTTTTTTCAGTACTTATATTATCTGTGTAAATACTGTTTATATAAGTTTATGAACGTACAAAGGCCGACACTTTAAATCCTGGATCTGGAAATTTTGTCGGCAATATTTTAAGGTATTTTATTATTTCGCTTATGTCATTTTGGTAAGTAAGTTTTCTGACAATTAAAAATATAAAGTTATCCCCCAGGTTAGAGGAGATCCTCCAGATCAAGAATATATATTAGCCGTGGGATACTCATAGTTTCCGAAATATTTGCATTTAAAGTTTTAAAATTCAACTAGTTAGTGTACGTATTTTTCAATTTAAAATAAATTGTACACTTATATTTTTCACTTTTATATCCTTTAACACTGCGATAATTCTTTTGTACACATTTATTTACCATTATATAGTGAAAAATAGCTTTAATTCAATATCTAACTCATTGTTCAACTCTAATAATTCTGACAATAACAAAAGGGTTGCAAATGTAATAACCAGTGTTACCATACTAATATACTTTGCAAACGAAGAAAAATAAAATAAAAAGAGAGATTATACCTCGAATAGAGGAACCATAATCGTTGATGGACAATAATAAATCTTTTAGTTTTTTTTTTAACTTGAGAAACCCTATTGTTGGACAGACAAGGGTTATTTTTTTTTTTAAGTGCGTCCGAAGGCCGTCACCACAAAAAGGAGTTCTAAGTAAAAAAGTAACATTGTCAAAAAGGATATAATATAATCCTTTACGCCAATGTTCTCTAACGGATATTACTACTGTAAGCTTTGAAGAAAAGTACCGTTTCATCTTTTTAATTTGCTATTTATTTCATATTTGGCAAATAAAATTCAAGTGGGTTTAGAGCGAATAATTGTGTTAATAATAAGATTTTTCCTCTTCCAGTCATTATTAAATTTTGAATTTTGAAAATGAGTGCAATTTCGTCAGGTAAGTTATTACACTTTTAAATTTTTTTAAATATTTATTAATAATTATATTTAGAGTCGAGGAACAATCGCACAGACATGGCATTATTCACAAAATTAATGTGATTAAAGTGGCTTAGTTGAAGGACATGTGGAACATTGGAAAAGTATTCCAAACTGTCAATGGTGCTCTCTATGGACGTTTAGATGCTATATCTCGATCTAAGGCGACTTGATTCGAGAACGCGAAAATACCCTTGAATCAAAAATGTTAACTTATGTTTTGCTTCTCATCACATTGGTCGCATTAAGAGGTGCGTAAAAACAGTATATTCAGGTAACCATATATGACCGGTATAACTAATGCTGGGAAGCTGTAGTATTATATCAAGTAGACCATCAGGAGAAGTTGGGTAAAATTGGTGGCCCTTGGAAATAAGTACAGATCGATGAAAGTAAATTTGGCAGAAGGAAATATTATATAACAAAGGTAATATTAAAAATAAACAATAATACATAATTAGTTATATATTTTTCTTATTTCAGGCAGGAGTGTGGAGGGTCACTATATGTTGGAAATGGTGGAAGATGGCAGGGAGGAATTGCGGTTGGAAGTATGTTCTGATAATGTCAGATCTGCTAAGGGGCTCATACGGGCGGGTTATAAAAAGATTTTTTGCCATAATAACTATACTAATCTGGAAAGCTTTGCGGATTTAATAATAAAATATTTGGCGAAGAAATATTGCGAATAGGGATGATGATCCGTTTGTAAAATTTAATGAGGCAATAATACATACATATAAGCCATTAAACAATTTCGTTTTATTTTATTGGAATAATTTCATAATATTTTATTTTTTTGGTTTTGGATTCCTATATTTGGGGTTTAATCTATTTTCTTTATTTCTTTTAGTTTTTTATTTTTATTTTATTTACAAAAGATGTCGATAAGGTAAAACTGGTTATTTGATATTTTGCAACCCTTTTGTTATTGTCAGAATTAATAGAATTGAACAATGAGTTAAATATTGAATTAAAGCTATTTTTGCACTATATAATGTAAAATAAATGTAAAAACACCAACTACCGCAGTGTTAATGGAAATTATTTAGTTTTTTAAAGTGAAAAATACATACTTTAAATAGTTGAAATTTTCAACGTTCAATGCAAATATCTCTAAAGCCGACCCTTATTATTATTGAACTATTGAAAAGACCCGTTTGTATATTGAATATGTATGTGGCATAAAATTTCACGAAATTTAGTAGTCACTTAAAAGCGGCTACGAAATTGTGAGGTGAGGAACGACGTTATCTTTGGCATTGCGAAAAACTGAAATTTTGCACACATCCTTTTACCTCAAAGAAGTTACTAATCTGTCGGAACCGCCGATATTGGACCACTACAGCATATAGTTGCCATACAAACTCGTCAATCAAAATCCTGTCCTTGTATGGAACAACTTTTATTTAACAAGATATTTTCACAAAATTTGGCATGGGTTATTACAAAAGCAGCGAAGCAGGTCGCATCACTAAAGCATATAGCTGCCACACAAACTGACCGATCAAAATCAAGTTCTTGAATGTATTGTATTTTAAGTGGGTATCGGCGCAATCGAAGTTAACGTTTTTTCTTGTTTTGTTGTGGCTATGAGAAGTAAATTTTTTAGCAAGTGAGCGGCGCGCAAATATAATAAGAACGGATATGGCGAATCGAAGCCGGCTATTGCAGCACTTTGTAAGACTATGGGACAAGCGAGTAGGATGCAAGTTTCTGTGATATGATTTCTGTCAACACTGCTTATCAATTAGTAACCCCTAGTACCGATATTTAGCAGGATTTTATCGAACCAATGGCTGCCTTTTCCATGATTTAGCTCACCATTTCAAACGTTAAGAAAGTCATCGACCTTTTTATGCCATAATAATTCACAGCTTTTGTTTATGTAAGCTTCGAATGGATTTTCAAAAAGAAATTTGCGATCAGTTCAATTTAAGTAAATTTACCCAATTTTTTATTCCGACACTGATTGTCCATAAATGAATTAATTCCAATGATTATTTGCTAAGGAAAAAATAAATAAAGCAAATAATAGTCTTCTTTTAATGTGTCACTATTTTTTAGTTTCCAACAAAACCGTTAATTATCCTCAAGGCTTTAATGCTCACTTTCATAACGGTTGTATTACAAACTGACAAAGTACTCTCTTTTAAAACATAGAAAGTCGCTTATTTCATTACTAATTTGACTTTTGGCTTCATGTTTGTTTTCTGAACTTTTTTTCGCTGCATTGAATTCGCTTGCTTATTGTGCCATTCTCCATAATACGTACTCTTATGTAGTATATACTCGTGCATACATATGTACTAACAAACAGTGCATTGCATGTTGCTCATATGCTACCTTGCTTCGTTGCCAACGCGACGAACAAATGGTAAATGACATAAACCTTTTATTTGTTTAAAACTTATCCACATGTGACTGCAACGCCCCCCGCGACAAATGTACATCGTCCTGGCGGGGTATGGGAACGTGTAGGTTATACAATTTTCAATTTTTTTACGCTGTTCAGCTGCTGAATTTTCACTTTTGCTGACACAGACAAAGGCAATCATTTTGAATTCCATTAAATGCGTACAATAACTGTAAAAACGATGCACACTGTCGGCCATATAATCTTTTATTTATCTTCATTTTTTTGCATTCACGATTTTTATGCTAAAAACAACGGTGTTTTCCTTGTCTCTTTAGCGGTTTTATTTTTACATTTTCATTGCTCTTTTTACTGCGGCCTGTGAATTTATCTACTGATGACTTTTTGTCGTTTTTGCCAGTCAAAAACGGAGATATTAAATTTAAATTGCTGCAGTTTCGTAATGAATGCAACGACTTTGATTTTTAAAGCGAATTGTATTACCAAATGACAAAAACCGTTAGCTGAGCTTCGCAAATATCAAAAGGTAAAAGTCGTAATAAATTGAATTTTTTGACGATGCGGATTGGTTTTATTCAGAATAAGAAAAATGTTGGCTTCGGTTATACCGAAGCTTTAATACCCTTCACAAATACAAAATATTCCTTACAAGAACTTTAATTTGATCGGCTAGGTTGACTGGCAGCTTTAGTATATGCCATAGTGATCCGATCTGAACAATTTCTTCGGATATTGCACCATTGCCTTAGGTCATTTCGTGAAGATATCTCGTCAAACAAAACAGCTTTCCAAGCACTTGATTCCGATCGTTCGGTTTGTATGGCATGTATATACTATTTTATCGGCGGTTGCGGCAAATGAGCAGGTTCTTGGGACGAAAACGACGTGTGCACTATTCGCGTATATACGGACAGAAGGAACTTGCAGACGGACGTGACTAGATCGACATTATTCGGCATGCTGGTCATTTATGTATATATTTTATGGGGCATAGCATTGATAAAAGAATCAACAAATTGATAGGGATGTATTATTATACAAGTGTTTTTCGGTCAATATTTCTGTCTGTTTATACAAGTATTACTGTTATGCCTTGATGAAAAAATAAAACTTAGCGTGAGAGTATTATTTGTCAAGGCAAAACAAAAATCTGACTCTTCCACTCTTACCGCGTGAGAGTTAAGTAAATGTCACGAGCCTTTACTATATCGACTATATAGGCAAAATTATTATAGTGATTTCCGAAGTTCTGAATGTCTCAAAAAGTTTACGAACTATTGACTGTACATGTGTAACGTTTTTATGATATTGGCGATTTTCGTTTGTTAAAGGCTCACACTTCGTTGCTAGTTCCTCCATATTCGCAAGAGATGTTTTCGTGTGACTTTTTCTTATTTCCAAAAATAAAGAGCACCCTGAAGAGCCATTGTATTACAAAATAGATGAAATGGTATAAATGCATAATATCGAATGGTGACTATTTTAAAAGTGATAACATCATTGTAGACGAATGGGTAACATTTTTTTCCAAAATGAAACTTCCCCTTATTTTTTGAACACACCTCGTAGATGCCACCATCACATATATTGAAAATGAAAATTGGTGCATGCAGTCATATCAAGGTTCAGGGTTAGTCTTGGAAATTTTGTATACTTCAGATTAGGCGAATCAGAAAATATTATACTCGTAAGTCTATAAGTACAAAACATACTAATTTTTTATGAAAAAGTGACTAAAAAATCTAGTAAATAAAAAAAAAAAATTTCAAATGTAATCCTGTATGCAAATGTGAAAAATCTCAATATGGTTCGGTCCCAGCTTGTCATAAAAAGATGTGATGGAAATAATAAACAAATTTGGTTATTATTTATGAATATTTTGATAAACCGTGAACAGTCTGGCATCTGATAAGGTATTAGCTTGCAAACTAAAAATATTGTCAGAGTAGACACATGCTTTATTTAAAAGATAAATTCAAAGGCCTTAAATTTGATTAATATCCCGATGGCTCTCTACTTTAAATAGCAGTGACTGAAGGGTTTAAAATGCGGAGTAATCAGCAGTAGCAAGAATAGTCGGTAAAACCTTTCTTATTAACACCGTAATCTCTTCGCAATTATTGCCCCACAATCTTAAAAACAAAATGAAATACAATTTAAGCATGCAATCACATCTTTTGAGTTCCGTTATTCACTTTTCCTTCTTATTTCCCTTCTTAGGCTATTAAGCTGGCGATTTCTTTACGTTGAGAGAAAACTCGTTAATTTTACGATATTGAATGTGATTGCAAAACGCCTTTCGTGTGAATTCAATAAGCCACCTCAGTGCTGACCAACAGCCCCATCACCAACACTACATACATACAGACATCAGGGTGCTGGAGTTTGCTTTAATATATCTCCCTGTTTTGGTTACATTTTGCACATTGATTGTCCTTTATTTTATGATTATTTTCTGCAATCTTCTTATTTCACTTATTCACATTTTTCGCGTCCTCTCTGTCGGCTCTGCGCAGGTTTATTTGTCGGCTAGTAAAAATGTAATCCTTGAAATCGCTGTCACTACATAAAGTTCATACGGCGTGCCCTTTTCTGTGGCGGACGATTTTACGAGAAAACTATGTGTTTGTATGTGCGCATGTGTGTGTTTGTCCATTTGCGTTTCCACTTAACAGTTGTAAGCTTTTGTTGTTGTGTTGTTGCATTCGTTGTAAATTGATTTTGTTTTCATTTTTGTTATTTTTGATTGATTGTTGGCATTGTGCGCGTAAAACCCGCTTTCATACTTATGGATTTTATTTAAATTTTTACGTTCGTGATACGAGCATTTCGCACATTTACCGTTATTTCGGCATAATCCGACACGAGCAGATTTGTTTTATTTTATAGATCTTTCCAAATTTTACACTCATTTTTATTATGGTATGTTCGGTACTTACCCAGTATACGTAGTTTTATTAAACCAAAAAAGCATTCAGTGCCCATCGAGGGGATTTGCGAGTCTGTGATGCGCAGCACCTCGAGATGCGAGAAATTCCGGAAGTACTGACCGATGGTGATGGTGTTGCCCGGCCCTTTGATGATAATGACGCGCACATCCTTGGCGATCTGACTCACCGGCATAGCGCTGAGGCCACCTGCAAAAATGAAAGCCCACAAAATATGAGTGAGTTGTTGAAAATTGAGGTTTTTTGTTATTACAATTTGATTTAATATTACCCAATACAATTGTAGGTTGATTGTATATAAAGCGGATAAAAATACTTTGCTAATGAATGGAGGTGTGCGGCACAGGCCATTTGTATTTTTACGATTCGGCAATAAGCGCAAATTTGGTATTAGTTGAGAATTTACGAGTTCAAAAGGTAGCAGGTGATTGTAGGTTAATGGGCTTATTGATATGCATTGGTAGTAAAAATGTTTGCCATTTTACTTCAATAATATTTCCAGTTCACATGCTTGTGTGGAATATTATGTAAAGAACTTATGATAATTTGTAATCCTTGCTATGACTAAGGAAAAGCTCATTTTGAAGCCTTCCGTATGCAAGCCCCAAAATAAACAGAATACAACCAATCAAAAAGCAGACTTTTTCCTCTGTTTTCTGATTGAATTCGTTTATGGGTAGAGTGTGAATATCCAGCCGAATTTGTTATTTATGAGTTTGGGAGCCGCAAGTAATGGGCCGAAGGCTTTCATGGCATTTGAGGCATAATGGAAAACTATATAAATTTGTTTTTTTTTGTTTTTAATTTTTTAATATTTGTCGGCACTCGGCAATAATGCTGTATGTGAATTTTTGGTGTGAGGAAACTTCTTTTGAAAAAAAATGCAGACTCGAAGTTAAAATACAATATGTTTTTTCGACAAACATTGAATAGCTTTGAAGAGGAAACTCTTCCCTTATATTTACCAAAGCTATAATACGCTTCACAGGTGCATTTTTCCAACATAAAAGAGTGTAAAAAGACCTTTTTCTTGATTTTGATCGGATGATAGTTTGTATGGCAGATATAAGTTACAGTAGTACGATCTGGAAAATTTATGCAGATATTTCTGCGTTGCCTTGCGCAATAACCCATGCTACATTTTATTAAGATATCTATCGCATTATCTAAAAAAAAATTCCATACAAGAACTTGATTTTAAGCGGTCAGTTTTCATGACAGCTATATGCTATTATAGTCCCATTTTAACAATTTTTTCGAAGATTGTAGTAATGGCTTGGATAGTAATTCATGCCGAATGTCGTCATGATATCTCGTCAAATAAAAAAAAGTTGTTACAATGACATGATTTTTATCGTATAGTTTTATGGCAGCTATATCCTAAAGTTGTCCGATATTGGCGGTTCCGACAAATGCGCAACTTCTTAGGAAGAAATGAACTGGTGCGAAATTTGAGATGGATATCTCAAAAACTGAGGGACTAGTTCGCGTATATACATACAGACAGACAGACAGCTGTGGCTAAGTCGACTCGTTCACGTCGATCAAATATATGTGTACTTTATAGGTTCTTCGACGTTTTCTTTTGTGTGTTCCAAGCATCGGGGCGACCTTAATATACCCTGTTCAGAGTAAAAGTCAGAGGTAGTCCAATTTGATGGCATTGATTATCAGTCAGATTTTTTTTCTATACTTGGAACTAAATGTATATGTTACTATTTACGTCAACTCAGCAAACGTGGCAAAAATGGAATATGAGCCGCACATGCCGACTGTTAAAATTCAAGAGGAATGATATAAGAACTCTAGTAGGTGTACTAACAGGCCACTGTCTAATAGGCAGACATGCAAGTAGACTTGGCACGCCATATTGTAGAAGCTGTCAGGAAATAGAAGAGGAGGAGGCCATTAAACATCTTCTATGCGATTGCGTAGCACTATATAGAAAAGAATCGCAAACATCGGTCGTGGGTTTCTTGACGACGTCTCGGTGGTTGCACGGATAAAACTTGTCTCACCGATGAAGTTCATCAGAAGTACGGGGTGGTTAGGAGAGGAGCCAATAGAGTGAGGGGACCACAGTCCCAGTGGTATCGCAATGGGCCTCCTAAAGGCCTAGGTGTGTCGAATGACAGCCACTTTACCTACCTACCTACCTACTATTTACGTCGAAGGAATAACCATCAAGAGGGTAAAATCGACTAGGAGAAAACTTAAAATTATTAATCTGAAAGTGAGTTTTCTCTTTTTGCGAGATAAATTCTGTAAAAAATTTACTCTAACGCAGCACCAATAACTTTAACTAATTCCTAAATTCGCAAGAATCTGTCACACTGTCACACATTTGTTGCCGTCTGACGATTTTAGCTCTTTCTCTGGAATCCAGGGTTTTGGACGAAAATGGCAAGTTGAGTATGTTAATGGGCATATTGAAGCGGAAGAGAATGGAAGTGGAATGAATCATCAATGGCTCATTTTACCTCTAAAATACGGTTGTGTTGACGATTCATGTACGAGGTGAGTTCAAAGAAAAAGTTGAGTTTTGATTTTTTTTAAAGTGTTTAACTATTCATAAATATCTATTTTGTCTCCTTCAAAGTAATCCTACTTGGATATAATACACTTGTGCCGACGGTTTTTCTATTCCTCGAAGCACTTCTGAAGTGCGATTTTTGGTATGGCCATCAGCTCTTTCTTCGATTCTGACTTGATCTCATCACTTAAAACACAAAACGCTTTCCTTTCTTGGGAATTGAAAATTGTCGCAGGGTGCCAAATCTGGTGAATACGGTAGTTGACGTATGATTACGGTTTTGTTTTTGGCAAAAAAATCACGAATAAGCACTGATGTGTGAGCTGGTGCATTATCGCAAACTTCGGTGCCACACATTTCATGCCTAAAACATTTGAGAAAATTGAATGGCATGAGCCAATTGATATGCCAACATCCTCTGCAACTTCCCAAATAGTAATTCGACGATTTTCAAGAACAATTTTTTTTACTGTTTCGATGTTTTCTTCGCTTGTAGATGTGGGCGCACCTCCATGATGCTCATCGTCATCAACATCTTCTTGGCCTTCTGTAAAGCGCTTGTATCACTTATAAACACTTATTTGAGTCAAAGTGGACTCACCGAATGGCACAGTCAACATTTCAAGTGCTTTGAGGCACTTTATTCCATTTTTAACGCAAACTTTAATACATATTATATGATCCATTTCTTTCAAAAGTAAAAAACTGAAGAGCCCACAAAAACGTAACTAACCATTTCTGATGTCACAAACAATCTACTAATCGAAATTGGCTCCTAATGCAAGAACATCATAAACATATGTGTCCGATTATAACAAACACAAAATATCGATAATCGAATGTACACAGCTTGCGAAAAATCCAAATTCACCTTTTCCTTTGAACACACCTCGTGTATATGGTAGGCAAGGGAACAAAGAGACGAAGAATTAACGCTCGTTTAAATGCGTTGTAATTTTACTCGGCCTTACTGCGGCTGCAAATATCGAAACTTTTACTTTCAAGTAGTTGGTCACCTCACTCACTGACACCTCAAAAGTGATTGAACTAAAAATCTACTTTGCTTACATTTCAGTATGTAAATAAGTCAAACAAATTTAGCGCTCTTTTGCAACAATGTGAAAACTCTACCTCAAGCTTCTGTCGCGTACCAGTATACCCAAACTTTACTATAAACCTAAACTTATATGCAGATTAATTTAGAAGCCTGCGCTATTTTGCGGCTTGGGGACGAGGGTCGGAGTGGCGTGCCATGCTGAGGGACCCTGAAGAAAAATTATTAAACAAAAAAGAACCGCCCTCTTTCCATTTTTGTTTTTCAAATTCATACATCTGTAGACAACCATATATCATCCGCTTTAGTTGCAACTGTGACAAGTGCAGCTTCATTTCAACTTTTTTTTGTTTTTTTTTATTTTTGGCGTTGCTATACACAACAACGTGGCGCTTCTTTGTCGTACTAACACGCCTATATTGCTGCAGCGCCTGCCATGTTGCCTCTTACGATGTTTGCATTTTTAAGTCCATGCAGAGTGCATTTTTTAATGTACATATACACACACACATTGCTAAGTACTTGTTGTTAGGGTTGCCTATGAACAACAAAACCACACGCATACTTATGCATAAATGCATGTACATATATATGCATGTGTGCGTATGAATTCCCCACTAGAAGCTGAAATATTCGAAATTCATGCTTGGTTTCGTTCTTCGTGCCCGTTTTTTATTTTTGCATTTTTAATTTTTCCGACTTTCATTTTTCCATTTTTTCCGATTTTTGCTTCGTTTGCAATTTCTCGCATCCGACAATTTCCGCTTATGATTTTTTATGCGAAATTCTGCGTAGTTGTTGCCACGCCTGTTTTTTTGCTGCCGCGGCATGATTGCGCCACACAGATTCTCCGAAGGATGCAAAGCATTAATGTAGATTGCAAAGTTTCTTCGTCGCGCTCATTTCCATTTGCATTGTGTGAACGCCTCTCAGCGCACCGTCACTTTCGTGCAGCGCGGCGTGTCGAAACAGGGGCTTGGAAACGTTTCATTGTGGCTGAAATTATGTACTGTTTACTTTTGTTGCACGAAACAAAGCACGTTTGCAATTTGTGCGTTTCATCATTCGCACGTAGCTAGCATAATCTGTTGTAATACTTCTTCTCCAGCGGCATTGTATTGTATTATACCATTTAAGAGATTTCGTTTATTATAGCAGGGACAATGCTGACAGGGATTGAGTCTGCTCGAGTGTGTGGCAGTTTGCATGCGAAATTACCCACCATTCATTGCAACGGTAAAAATTTACTTATAATATGAATTTAGCAATGATAATGTACAGCGCATTTTTCATTTTTCTTAAAGAAAAATCGCTGTTGCTACTCACCTTTTGTACAAATCACCTGGCGGCGATTGTGCTCATCCACGTTGCACGCGCACTCCGTCGGACAGTTTTGGCCGGTGCCTGTCAGCACGGGCATTGCCAGTAGGCAAATCACAAACCACTGCAGCAGCATCTGGAATCAAAGAAGAAAAAAGAGACGTTGGATGAGAGATGGTATTTTATAGCAACAAAGTCATTACAACAAAATGCACTGAGTAAAATTAAAATGTTTTCATCAAATTAGGCGTTTTTCAGGAATTATTTTAAAACAGATTCAAAGTGTGAGTCCTCTAAATTTCAAAGTTCTATTTGGCTTGGGATTTATGTCAATAAAAGCTACTTATACGTCTCTGAGACGTTGCGCAGTGGGGCTATACGAGTATAAGAATGCATCATTTAACCTTTGCTACAGGAGAGAAGATAACTTAAAATATTCAAATGAGAATCCTTTTGTAAACAATATCTGATCTGGAAATGTTACAATCAATGGTTAAAATGTTAAAATATGTTTCTTAGACAAAAATTAATTAATAATTGCTTAATCTTTCCAAATCACTTAAGAATTCAATCGACTATTTATAATATATTTTCCACAGAAAACATCGAATGTTTTATACCCATTTTTTACTTATCAAAACTTTAAAGCGTTTTTGCAGCAACATGTTTTCAAAGTCGGTGCCTTCATAACTGGTTCGATATATATGACTGGTTCATATATGAAAATCTACAAATAACATTTTGGTAACACCTTGGTTTCGAAAAGGGCTCATTTCTTACGATAAAAAACGTAACAAAAGTCAAGAATACTAAAATCGTCCTCTTTAATTGCCTAAATTTGTTGTTGGCTTAAAGAGGCGAAGGGAGTCAAAGACGGCTACATTGATAATAAAATATAAATATAGTAGGCACATATCGAATAAGAAGATTCTACAAAAGAATTTGCTTGAACTTGGTCGCAAGTGTAGAGATTTAAGATATATTATTATAAATTGATAGATATACAAATCAATACCCTTTAACGCAATTCGCAATTTGCACATCCGGACAGAAACTAAACATCAAAATTACACAACTTTTCCAGAGCATTAATTAACTAGCCCTACGACAAAATAAATCATTCCTAGTATAACCAAATAAATATTCTTCAGGTATATTAATTACTATGTGACCACAAATATCACAAAATTACAGAAACTAGAAACTAAATATGTCATTTCAGAATTTATAATAACGAAAGCAGTCATTCATCATGACAATTACTGCGCTTGTAAAGTTTTTCTACAAATTAATGCGAACTCTGACCTCCTGTAAGTACTTCACAGGTTTCAAATTGCAAAGCGCACTTTCGATATGCGTGTCAACTCTAAGTTAATTTCCCCAAAGCAATGCATCTAAGTCAAAATGCATGTGCGTAAATTTGAATGCATTAATTTCAGCTTTAGTTCATTATAAATATAGTGAAAAACTTAATAAATATTTTGATTGACTTTGTGACCTTATGCAGAATATTACCCATTTGCAAATTAGTGCAATGTGAATATGAAAGCACTTGACTACTTTAAAGAGTTGTAGATGTGGGCATAATAATAATAGTGATATCCCTGAGAGAAATATTAGGAAGTACTACTAACTAAAATAACATTTACCTGGCTGATATATGACTTCCTTTTCAAGTTTAATAAAACTTACATTTTATATAAGAAACAAAATTATGATAAATATAGTAGACTTAATGGATTATACCTTATACGGAGCATTTCTTTTATATAAATTCAATTTTGTACGCAACAACATTCTTATCGAGAACGATACATCGATCTTCCAACTTTTCGATATCACTTTTGTATTACGATAAGTTTTTTCTTCTAAATACCCTCAGTCGTCGATGTTTTTCTCGTCGTTCAAAGTAAGGCTGTTCAACGAGCCTTATTTTGAAGTCTAAGAAGAGGAAAATCTTGCTGGCGGTCAGATTCGGAAAATGCAGTATATGCGGAAGCAATTGCAACACCGATTCGAAAATATGTTACCATAATTTTCATTTATTGTTGAAACAGTAAAGCGAGTGGTTCTGATCTTACGCGGCACTCCTTTTTCATAGAGTTTTTGTATTCCCAAATATGCAAATACGATTTGGCCAACACATTTTTTTGATACCTCTAAAGAGTTTATTAAGATAAACTTCATTCTGTGAACACCCAAATTCATTTTATTATATTATTTAAATGAATCACAAACTGAAACCGTAAAAACTCCAAGTTCATTTTAACTTCTTTTTTAAGGGGATAAGGTAAATTCGTGCAAAAACATGCGTGTTTTTGGGAAGAAAAAGTTAAAATCTCTTTCGTAGCACCAATGGCACGTGTATCGGAAAAAAGTTAAATAGCGGTTCACTTCATAACTTGTTGTTGAAACATTAGAAATCAAGATTCATTCGTTTTCTAATACTTTTTCCCAGGTAAAGTCGGTTGGGGCCTACTAAATTAACACAGTTGAAAATACTTCTCCGGCGTTACATCGTATGTTATTTACATAAATAGTTTTGAAGAAATAAAGGGCACCGACTTTCAAAACGTGACTGGTATAGAAAATGCTTTTTGGACAAATAAAATGCTATTACAATTACGGGTTTCCCATGTAGTTCACTCGCTTTTGCACAATACTCGTATATGGGTCTACATCTCTCCACTCGTCTGTTCTTTATATTCAGGACTCGGGAGGACCAATATGTAAAAGAGCTTATAGCTTTTGATAGATGAAACAGATTTTGCTTCAATTGGTGGTACAATGGTGATTCTGTCATCATCCGCCAAGAGATGTCCAATTTTTTACATTTCGTTCTGATATGTTTATTTTGGCTCTGTTGCCCAAGCACAATCAGCGGAGATCTACTTTCATTCTGCACATCCTTCTGTACATTTCGATTTCCAAATAGAAGCTGCGTGAATTAAGCTCAAATTAAGCTATTAGGCATTGGAAACTTTTTCAAAAGCTTATCTGCGCCTTTCCGGTGAGTTGCGGCAGCAGCAGAGAGCCACACAAACATTGAAACACGGGCAAAACAGCTTACAACTAGAAGCCAGCAATCAACTGCCAAATGCCGCTAACAAACACAACATCAGCAACAACAAGAGCAAAAGTGTGCAACAAATCAGCAAACCTAATCGACTTGCAAACCCGCACTGACTGACTGAGAGCTCACAGGCGCTGCCGACTGAATTGTGCCTTGTATAAAACAGCTCCAATCTAACGGTGCGGGAGGAGGTGGGACCAAACAGCAGAGAGCTGCTATAAAGACCTGCTGAAAGAGAAAGGAAAGCCGCTTGGTGGCGAAATGAAATTTGCTTAAATGTTATCGGTATCAACTTTCAACGCTGAGCAGCACTCAAGCAACTTCTGCGATGACGTTGGCGGCGACGCTGACGTCAAAGTCAGAAGCAAAGTGGCAGTGATAATATCAGTGCAGAAGAAGACTCGGATTAGATGACTGCCTGACACTGTGCAGACAAAGTGTTCAATTGTTGTTGTTGCTGAAGGCACAAGAGAATATGTGTGTATGCGTAAGGGGGAAATGATAATGATGAGACAGAACAGTTTAGCGGAAAGGCACCAACTGCAAAATGGCAAATGGCATGCAGCACGTGGCGAATTTGGCAGCAAAGTATTGAATGGAATGGATGAATGGTAAGCCATGAATACCGTTAGCTAAACATATGTGGCAAGAACTTAGCTTTTTTATAAAGGCAACGAGTTGGCGCGAGAATAAATTGCTTAAAGGCCGTTGGACTGTTCGCTGGAAGCGGTATAGGTGGCCGCTTGAAATAGGATATGTTAGTCAATTACACGTGATGCGAGCACGCCACTTAAAGGTTAAGTTCATGACCGCTGCCACACTGTGTACACATATGTATGTGTCGGTGTGTGTTGGCTGGCAGGCTGCATGTAATCGAATATAATAAATCAAATAAAGCGGCTCTTGTGTGGCAGTGGAGTGTACTTTGTATTAAATACCACGAAAAGTTGACCGCAAACCGACGTGCAACAAAGCAGCAAAATTAGTTGCAACCGACATACAAAGTTAAAAACGTACTCATTATAGGAGCAAGTTAATATATAATATGATGTTACTTTAACATTGTGCTCACTCAGAAGATGTTACGTGATATGTTCCGGATGATATTTCTGGGTCAAAATACTTCCAGCTGGAGTAGTCAGCTTTTTAGAAACTTTGTATATACTCAGAAAAACAATTGCATGGAATGAATTCATCGATTCGTCGGCAACAAAAAAGGCAGAGCTAAAGGAGATGAAATTGGCCAAAATCGGAGCATCGCTTGAAATGTTTATAAAACAATAGAGGTTTCGCTTGGAATTATGCAAAGAGAGTATCTAAAACCAATCAGGGATATCAAGTTCATGTATTTCAAATTAAAATCCCTTGAAATAGGTCACACATATAGATAAAAAAAGATTCTCAGCATGGTCCTCATTTAGCCCGATACCATTGAATAAGCGATACTCTAACCCGTCAGTAAAATATATTTTCTGGAGGTCTACAAAGTAGTTTTTTTGCATTCGATGTCCAATTGGCCAAATAATTCGGTAGAGACCTTCTGCAGGTAACTGATGTGATGCGCAACAAGCAGTGTATTTACCAGCGGATCCTGAGCTATCGAGCTGTACAATAGTATATCAAATTTATTATTGAAGTATTCCATTGATCTTGCCGTAGCTTGAGTTGCAGCCATACCAACCAACAAAACAACTGGTAAAAAGATATAAAATAAAATTTTGGTAGATTAAATATAAACAAATTTAAAACATCTTAACAATTATTTAACCCTTTCGGGCCTACTGGGACAATAGGTCCCAGCAATTTTTAAACTTCTTTATCTTTATTAGTATTTAAGCGATCGCGAATGTAATATATCTCAAATTTTGATTTTTGTCTCTATTTCGCTATGTAAACACATTTTGGAACATGCTAAAATTTCGTCAGTTGAATTGTAAAATTTTATAACAGTGCTTGTGTCAGCTTCAAAGTGCGCACTTAGCGGTTTTCAGTAAATAATACTTGTAGTAAATACTTTTTAATAATTATCTTGGAAGCGGTAAGCACCGATAAATTATAAGTTAAATTTACCAAAAAATCCCAATAAGTATTTTATTTATATGATCTAAGTAACATTTCTGATGTCGAAAAGAAAACTAAATCTAGACGATGTTGAGTCAATTGTACCTGAAGAATTGGACTCAAGAGACGATTATGAAGACTCTGTTAGAGAGAGTTTTTTTGTGATAGCTCTGAAGAAACAGATTGCGCTTCAGAGACTGATATTGGCGAAAAGATTACCCCTTACAAGTATAACCGGAGACGCTGTGAACGATGCACATCGCTTGGCACAAAAAACATATGATTGGGCTGAAGTACACGTTTTTGTTTCGAATGCTTTACACTTTATCACAAATTACATAAATAAAAAATCACAATTAGGAAGTATATATAAATTATCTTAAAATTCAACCAAAACGTATTTCGACTACTAATATTCAAGTTACAGAGTTTTACACTTATTGGTATTATATGTCCACTGAAAATACGGATTATACATATGTCCCAGGATAAAACGACGACTTCAAGATTTTCAAGTGTGCGGTACATAATTTTTTTAGCCACTT